CGTGTTGAAGATGACAGGCGGCCACCCACACCGTGAGTCTGCTGAGTGAGAGAGTCAAGGCGGTGATGCGAGCTCCCCACTCTTTCCTTCTTGTACAAAATTTCCTCTTCCTTCCCGTTCGTGGTTGTATGTCGGCTCTATAATAACACAACTAACCACTACATCTTTACACTCAGATAAAAACACTAATTGGTGGCCGGTTATACGCGTAAAAGAGGATTTCCAAACGCACGCCTTTCGACTTTTTTCGTAATTTCGTCGAGCTCTTCCTGCATTATTCACGGACCCACAAATAACGACAAACTTAAGGCACGGACAGTCAAATTACTGACCACCGATCGCTTTCATAAACGCTTTTGTTTCTTTAACGAAGATGAAGTAAATGAAGGGGATGCTGGACTTTGTCGGTGCGCGTAAGGCAGGTGTCCTCGAAGGCGTCATGGATCGAATTGGAGCAGGAGGATCCATTTCCATCAGATGACTGGTATTTCACATTCCACACTATTACAGCTACAGCTGTTTATCGTCTCCTGAGGACCGTTAATTGTTTCGATGTCTTATCTTCTAAGAGAAGCTGAAATAAAGGCCTCTGTGTCAGAGAGAAAACTTACTTTTTACCGAAATTAGCGCCGACTGTTGCGCAACGAGGGGAAAATGCAATTATTTTAATCAGATTGTGCACTCAAGTGACCCAATTCACGCTCGGTTTCTATTAAATGTGCGCCTGTATGTAACACTGGGCCTTTATATGCATGTATATAATTCTGTACTGTAATATTTTGCAGTATGCACGATCACAATTCTTAATTTCGACGCTATTTTAATATTGACTTTTTTAATTAGTTCAAAATTAATTACTATAACGAATTCCTTTAAAATTTCATGACGGCTGCAAAACCTTTTTTTTGCAAGAAAAAGCGTTCCTCGGATGCAGGAAGTCATTATTCGCTGATTTCTCGGGTTGTTTCTAACATGCATTTGTATGTGCAGCTGTTTTTAGGCGCTAAACATGACCGAGATACGTGGTTTCTCGTTCTGAAAAGGACAGCAATTAAAGGGCTAGTACAAAAAAAATGAAGCCATACTGAAAGTAAACCTTAAATTATTATTAACATCCTTTATGACGAGTTTTTTTTTTAATTCTTTTTAGTTTGTAGTTTAATTGTCGGGAGACTCTTTGGGATTCTTTGTTATTTTTATATAATTATCCAGATGCTTATTCTCTTGTACTCTGTAGCTGTCGATTGTGTTTGAGGTTATTTTAAGAATAATTTATAGCAGCAAACGGGAGCACTTGTCAGGTGTCGTTATCTGAACGCAGCAGGCTTCCTGTCTCAAACCTCAGACTTTCCGCACACATTTCCGCTCCCTGGACCAGAAAAAAAAAGCCAAAAAGGCAACAAAGGCTCTGAAAGACAGAAACAAAGTGGACAAAGTGAGGCGTTGCGTTGTCGTAGCTGCGCTGCCCGCTCCCTCGCTGACAGGGAGCTGGAGCAGAGAGGCCTGGCCCCGAGTTTGCGGCCTGCAGAGGCCTGCGTGCTGTCAGGATCCGAGCTGTGAAAACCGCACCGTTGTTTGTGCAGCACAAAGCGCAGCTGCTCGAGCCTTTGCAAAATCAGCTCAACTTTTACTTCTCCTTTCTGCCACTTGTTGCTTCAGACATGGCGAGGACAAAGGGCTGTGCCTTTGCACAACGTGATCTCTGGTCTTTTACTGCAGCATGCACTCATGCGTGAGCTGCACTTAAACACAAATGTAGGTGTTTTTTTTTTTTATTATTATTATTTAAATTAAACTTAAATAACCCGAAATCAGACTCTTATGTAAGCAGGAGCTCAGTTAAGCTTTAAGACTTTTAGTCTCTATAAATAAAAACACTGAGGGGGGGAAGGGGAACTCAGAAATCACCAAAATACAAAGTTTCTCATTAAAACACCAGCGTTTGAGATGGATATGTGGAAGTCCTGTTTGCGCTGCACTATTATTTATTAAAATATCAATCCAGGTTATTTGTCAGGCTGCACGCAGCACATTTTACTGAAGGCAAGATAATGCAGGCATCAACATATATCACCCAATCCGCTTCTTCAGCCCCAGATAAGCCTCGAGGGGCGTCATAAACGACTAAATATAAAACAGATTTTAATCATGTAACTGCTTCTTGCAAGTTGTTAACCACATCCTTTGTTCCAGCTTAGGGTTAGTGGCTTACCAACCTTTTTGGCCTTTAACCCCTTCATACAGTGTATTGTTTTATTAAATATCGCGTAGAGGTAGAGATATGGAACATTTATACAGTGATCCAGATAAAAGACATATCTTTAAAAAAAATTGTTACACAAATATTCTCTAGTTGTCTTGCTAACCATTTGGCAACCTGCTGGAAACTACAAATTAAATGAACAACAGTAAATTCATGTAAAAGGGCTACTTTTTGTTTTTAGTGCACCTAGATTCCAAACTGGGGAACTGACAGTTTTCCCTCCCCTTTAAAAAGTAGAACCAATGACCTTCTACCTCTATGGTTAGGGGATGTGGTGATTTTGTTATGCTGTGTTGCAAGCATGTTTTGGGTCAAATGATCCCCTCAGTGGTAAAGGGCGACTGTAAATCTATATAAAGTTGTTTATGAAATATTTTTCTCCTGATTAAGGATAACACTGCTTATCCAGGGGGTGAGGGTGAATGTTTGAAGAGAATGAAAATGATGTGAATCATAATTGTTTCAGAGTAACCAAATCTCAGCCCACCTTAACAGTTTTGTTAGACGGCAGTCTTCCCTAATATTGCCACACAACAAATACAGAAATGATTATAAAACCGGTGTTTCATCCTTCCACTAAATGCTTCAGACTTGCAGAATCATTTCATTTAGGTTAGTCTGGCTCACTAAGACCTTTTATGTTGGTTTCCTTTCATTTGTTACCTGTTTGTAGTCTTTTAAGGCTTACACAGGAATTTCTACAATTTTTGTTTGTTTGTTTATAGATCAAATTATTAACCAGGACATATTCATTAGATTGTGGGATACCTGAATGGTAGTTTTTGGTTGCAGCCCTGGTTACAGGTGAACTTTAGCAGTACAAATACATGTAAAATAGTACATGCAGCAGGATATATTTAAGGGGAAATTTCCTTTAAATGAAACGCTCTTGGCAGTAAAAACTAAGAGTCTTTGAACACCGACACCCTTCGTGTGTGATTCATAACAGACTACTACCTAACGTTATCTGATTCAGGCTCTGCTGTAATGGCCCTGCTCGTGTGCTACTGAAAAATGACTTTTGGAGGTAGAGTTATTAAAGTGAGTCTTGGAATATAAGGCATTTGGATTCATGGTTAAATGTGGACAAACTATGAATCTAAAATGTCATTTATACAAAGATGAATAAAGATCCACATCTCGACAGGCCTCCTGTGAGCACGCTTTTAGTTGCTGGCTTGGGCAAGACTGCACTGATGCAACCTGCAAAGCTGCTGACAGCCATGTCAAAAGTTTCCATGCAGGACTTCGTGTTCGTGCGCTCACTCAAAGTGGAAAGTGCGTGCTATCAAAGTGAGCAGCAGCGGCGTAAATTTTAGGACATCGAGGCACAAGGCGGCCTCAGTTTCAAGAAGGTCATGTTTTTAAAAGCAGTTTTGTGTCACTGAGCAACAGCCTGAAACGCTCTCAACAGGAAGTCAGTTGTGGCATCGGCGGTCAGGCCGCAGTTTGGTATATTTGTATCAGTGAGCAGAGGAGATGAAGAGAGAGGGAAAGAGCAGAAAGAAACAGATAAAGAAAGAGCGGGAGTGTGCATGAGCTTTTCACTGAATTCGCTGTGCCGAAGAGCAAACGTTTGGATGAGAAACTGCAAGTGACGATAATGTCAGCTTGAATTTTGAGCTCTAAATAAAATTAAAAAACTAAACAAAGCAACAAAAAAAAGATACAATCTTCAGCTACGGCTCACAACTGCCTACTATCACGCATTCTCGTGAGAATTTGCTGTCAGCAGCGAGTTTTATCCCGCCTTCAGTTGACTGTTTCACTTCTGCACAGAGTGAAGGGCCCCGGAGTGTGAGAAGACAAACTGACAACAAGAGGACAACAGAAGTAAAAGAAAGCAAAGAGATGGAGAACAAAGCACAACATGCAGTCCTGCTAACCACTTCTCAAACATACAACACACACACACACACAGAGCCCTACATTTACAGCATTACATGCGTCAGACTGTGTTGCTGGTCTTTCATATGCAGAAGTATTCCTGTAAACAAAGTGTGAAGAAGCTTTTGGTTCGGCTACATTAAGCGTGACAAGAAAAAAAACCTGCAAACTCGAAATTAAAACAATATTAGATGGTGGTTTACAAAAGTGTCAGCGTTCATGTTGCATTATGGGTATTGTAGGCAGTTTTTTTAAACGACAGATATTCATCTGAAGTAAGAATCTGCATGAATTTGGATCAAACAGCAGCCTGAAGCTGAGAGTCCCAAGTTAAAATCTCCAACTTTACAGCACAAATAAACATGTTTACAGTAGAAAGAAAAAACCCACCCCTGAAGCTTATTTGTGCGTTCACAGTGACTATACTTGGCGGAGGGGGTTCTCATCTGTGTAGATTTTTATCACGTGGCATTATGAGGGCATCCTACTTTGTTGGTGACTGTAGTCACTGGCTTCATCTCCAGTAATATGAGTCAGAGAAATAGACCCGGCAATTGTATATTTGGTGTTCGCGCTTTCTGAAGAATTTTCTAAATCCGTTATCTGATATACTGATACCTGCTTTGTAGCCATTTGTAATATAGGACCATCCAAGAAGTCTGGATGGTCCTATAGTGCAGCTTCTCACCTCATTAGTTAATTAGTTTAGAGGAGGTGAGTATTAGCATTGTATTTGGGTACATTAACACTAGTCAGCAGGTGTCTGTGTTTGTATGTAACACTGTGATCCGTCATCCAAATATGGCCACTTTTTGCTCAAATGTTTCCAACGACTCACATTTTGAAACCTAAATTTGAGGCTTCAACAAAGCAAGGAGTCCACAAACCAGTAGGTGCTTACATCCATCTTTTACATACAGTCTATGATTTTGACAGTAGTGCAGTGTTCAGTATTTTTCGTAACAATTGTGTCTTTAAAATCTTGTGCAACTTTTTTGTGTAATCGTGGGTTGGAGTGAAATGAAAACGTAACCTTCTTCTAGAAAAAGGGCGTATCCATTACACAGCAGCAAACGCTCCACGCAGCAGAAGCAGTAGCTGACTTCTGTAGGAGTTTGTCTGCAGCATGAAGGAAATGCAGAATTGTGTGCCATGCATTAAGATGTGGTTCACAGTGCTCAGGCAACAATTGAGCTAAAAAAAACAAACAAACAAAACAACACACACACGCACAAATGAAAAACAATGTGATGGCGGCACTTCAATCAAGGCTCATACTCTTCTTTCCGTCCACCCTCCCCTCCCCTCTCCTCTCCTGACCACAGGCCTTTAAGGGTTGTTTTCCAGCTTTAAAATGACCCACATTTTTACACCATGCACCCCCTCCTCCACCATTTCCTCTCCCTTGGCCTGTGCCAAAAGGTTCCTGTGCACATGGCGGCCTGGTTTCCTGTAGGCCACTGAAAAAGCACGGCACTGACGTACAAGGCCCAAAGACAATGCTCAGCTCCTCTAAACAAACATGCACTTGCACCCACTTAGATGGCCGTGGTCGCATCACACATGCACGCACTTAATTTGAGCAGCAGACAGAACAACAGGTCCGGTCTCTGGCCTCCTGAGTACGTGGGATGAAAGTGCCATCTTCGAGCGGTTTTGAGGCCACATTTTGGGCGCTGAGCACAGGAAGACGGACTTAAATCTCAATTAGACTCCACCTTGAGCTAACACCCCTCCCCCTCCCTGCAACCCCGATCCTAACGACAAAATAAAACTGTGGTTAAGGTTACTGATGTTCTTTATGATTAGGCAGCCTCCTGGCTGCTTTCACGGTTCATTTTTCATTTCGCTCCTCATTGTAGTGGTTTCATAACCTCCTGTAGCTTTTTACGTTAAACATGCATTTAAAGTTTGAAACAGTCACAGGGGAATTCTTTATCGTGCAGAGAAGAGTTGGATCCTTCAAACTCAGCCCAGGGCCCAAATCTGGCCTCTTCAGCCAGACAGTTGAAGTTCAGGAAAACTGCAATATGTTTGTGATTGACAGATTTTCACGTGCTTCTGTTTTCAAAAATATGGCCCATTATATCGACATGATTACCTTTTTTTAGGGCTTTCTAAAAAGACTTTTTCTTGAAATTTGTCACTCAAGTTCTCGTCTTGAGGCCTTCAAGAAATACATGAAAACAAAATCAGGGATTATTTTGCTTTTACAAAATCAAAGGAAAATAATCTTTATTTTTACCTCTTTTCCCAAACAGCATTTATGTTTGCAATGTTATCAAAATTAACAAATTAAACACTTTTAAACATAAATAAAACAATGACAATCTAGACAACACACCACAACATAAACATACATTTTGCAACATAAACAAAAAAAACAAAACAAAAAAAAGATTTTCAACATTTTAAAGTTGTCAGTTTTCCTGGTTTCTTGTGTAATTACTTCCATTCCTGCACAGTTCATCAAAAATAGCTCATCTGACTGAATTCAACCTTCCAACCAGACAGTTATGTTTCAACGCGGACTCTATTTTGTGCCACTTAGCATTTCTTTATCTGATCCTAAAAACTTATAATTTTGGTTTTGGTTTTTTGGGTCAGAATTTTGCACATCTTTTAATTATATAAAGACCAAATCCCATGTTAGCAACTATTTTAAGTGAAGTATCGGTAACAAATCTACAATAATACCCAGGAACCCAGACTCCCAAACTGGGTTTAGAAGCATTTAATCTATTAAAAAAAATAAAATTAGATCGTTTATTTTACAAAATGGATTGAACCAAATATAATGGTAAATGTCTAAAACACATTCAGAAGCAGTTTATCTGTGTAGCCACTGACTGCAACTCTAACATTGTGTAATGCAGTCGTTTCGAAAGCCAAAGAGGCTGAATTTAACTAAGTTTGAATAAAAGTGAACAAAAACAAACTGATTACACGTTTCATCCACAATAAATAAAATTAAATATTAAAACGAAACGTATTCAGCCCATATTAACTGACATACGGCATTAATTTGCTGCTTTTTGATGTTTGCTGATTCTCAACCATCGAACTTCTGTTGGAAGCCATTTTTTCCTTTGTTGAGCAAGTTTCCAAAAATAGAAATGTGCTTCCTCGCAGCAGGTATCTGATCTGATATATATGTTTCCTCTCTGCCATTGTTGTCCAAAAACTATTAAGAACTCTTGACTGGGGGACTAGTTTGTTTTGACTCGGTCACACATCATCCTGTTGCTCACTAACGTGCATTAATCCACCGGCGAAAATAGTCGCCAACAAATTCATTACTTCTTGCTGTTTGAGTAACATTTCATAAACAATTAAATTAATTCGTATTCAGTGAAGATCGTTTAACCTTCTTCTTAAACTCTATATTTGTGACACAGATTTAACACTTTATGGCAGCAGGAATTAATATACTTGAAATACGCGATATTATTTCCTGATTCCAAATCCTGGATGTGATTAATTCAATCTGGTTTCATACAAGCAGAAAACATTTTAGCCTTAAAGCTTCAATGCTACTGCTACAATCACCGCTCCTGCTCGTATCGGTGGATAAAAATAAGTGTTTTGAAAAAGCAGTTTCCACAGGTTGTGACCCGGCAGACACTGACCCGCGGTTCTGTTGAACAGGAAGCGCTGTCCGTGGTGAGTGAGGATCAGCCCATATTCGAGCCAACCTACACCGCAGCCCCGGCCATGCACATGAAGACCGAGATGACGTCGCCCGGCGGGTTCAGCCAGACGAACAAGCAGAGCCCCGAGCCCACTGAGCCGGAGTGGGTGGGGCCAGGAGCACCAAATGCTGGGAAGAGAGAACACGTCAATGGCACCAGGTGAGTCACGGCACGCCGAGGCCACAGGAGAGCGCGGGTTCCCGTATTATCTGACTCCAGTCCATGTTGGTATGTCGGCTTTTCCACATGCTAAAAATATTTGTTTATCGTTCACTTCCCAGATTCCCGCCTCTGATTGTGGTCACGGCTTTGTTCATTTTCCCTCACCATCGCTACAAAGCGTTGGCTGGCTGTGATGGAAAATTTGGGTCCCTGTGTTCAATATTTTAATTTCCTGCATTATTGTGGTCCACCTGAATATGCTGCTCACTTTATACTGCACTGCGTTTACACTCCGCAGCTACGTAATAAAACACGATACACCAAAAAAAACATTAAGCATATACTTTCCAAAACTTTTGGCTTCTGAGATATCAATGTTGTGAACACCTCACTGTTTGTTTGTTTTTCTGTCTCCGCTTCTTCAGTTAGAAACCGCTAAACTACTCAAACGCAGGCTGTTTATCAGCATCCACCTCCCACTGTGAGACATAAACACTATTAGACTGTTGCCCTTCTATTAATGTCAAATGTGACATCCATCACAGCTGACATTTGAATGAATAAGTACTTCTACTTTTGATACTTAGACTGAAAAAAGAAAAATTAGAACCTTTTTTTAAAGCGTTTTTTCACATGTGCACAGGGCTCTATGTAGATCTAACAAGATATCCTAACAAGGTTTGAACAGCTTTTTTCATTTAGTAAAGTCAGTGTATTTTTTAAGTCTTTCTTTTCCTATTTGTTGCATGTTAAATCTAATTAACAGGGATTAATGTCCATTTTTAATAGAAATCCTTTAATTCAAATGGACTTTTTTAAAAAGTTAACTTATTGCAGCACAAGTAATCCCTTTGCACTGAAAGCTCAGACTACTCTAAATGCTCAGTTTTACAGATTTCTTTGGCTCAGTATGATGTCAGAAATCATTATTAAGGCACACAAGCTCAGGCTTTAAGCACAGAAGCCACGTCTCTGTTCTTACCTTGTGTTTGTGATAGGCACCCAATCACAGTGCAGTCCCATGAATGGCGAGGTAGCTCACCAAAACTGATTGTTTCAGACAGCATGAAGCCTGACGTAGTGAGTCATTCTCAACAGGCAGGTTAACAGTGCTGATATGGAGATGGTTGCCAGTTTAGCAACCCACCTTTCTCGTGTTTTCACAACTTTGACCATCTAATGTGACGGTAATTATTACCGCTTCAATAAAAGAACTGTATAAATACAGAACGTGCAAAACACTTCGGCTAAAGCTCAAAAGTTTTGCTCAAAACTACCAGATACAAGTGCCTGTGTTGTGTTTACTGGGATTCTATGATCAGCAAGATTTCAGCTGGACTTTGAATTTGAAGTCAAATCCCAAGTCGGTGAAATATTCTGGAAGCTCCTTCAACTCTGAAGCTTTTAAACAGAATAAATCAAACAAGAATAACATGAAAAATGACTTCAACAAGTTACATTCACCAATACAAATTAGATTTTTAACCTTGACACATTTACATCTGCTTTCTATATTTAAGTGTAGTACACTCTGCTCATACCATTTCTGTACCGTTATTTAAGGCTTTTAATTCTAGATCAGCGCTGCAGAGTGCAAGTATTTTCTAACAACTTCTATTTTTATGCAAAAACTGTCTATGTGGTGAAAACTGGGTTAAATTAGTGATGCACGCCACCTACTCCTGACAGGTCGTTTCAGTGGAAATTGTTGCAGAGAAACAGTTTGACTAAATTTACCTGCTGTCATATACAGACTAGCGAAAACTCTGAGGAAATGTAGCTGGCTGAAACTGCATCCAGTCTATTGTCACAGATTTTTCTCTCTTCATAATTTGACTGTGGAGAGTAATTGATATATTCCCCGAGACATTTAGAAGACTGAAATTGCTCCTCAGATGCTGACTAAAGCCTCTCTTTTCCTTTTGTCGTAGTCGCGAGTCCCCAGTGGATTGCAGCGTCACCAAGCGTTCCAGACACATGAGCAATGAAGGGGCCACGATGCAGTACCAGGCCTCCTCGTACACGGAGCCCCGCGTCAGCCCCCAGGCCACCACCCCGCCCAGCAGTGCCACTGAGGAGAAGAGGGTCATCGTGCCAGCAGGTGAGCTGAGCCCCTCACACGAGCTGGCGCTCAGCCGCCATGATGCATCACTGTCCCCATCACGAGACTGTTTCCCAACAGCCGGCACAGCCTGGGCTTGTGCAACATCAGTAACTGAATCAGAGACGGGCATGTGCGTGTAATTATTCGTCTCTTAAAAGAGCCCCAAGAGCCCCGGAGCACAACAGATAAACAATAGCAGGTTTCTAGCAGTTGTGGTACAAGGTGACATCAGGCTTTGAAAAAAAGTGTGAAGTCTAAAGTGCAAAATTAACACTCAGGACTGTGATATTAATAAAAGAGAGAACAAGCAAGAACAGATCTGATGAGCAGGCTTCAACATTTTCAGTTTTAATCAGCTCGCTTCCTTTTTCAGGACTGTAATGAAAATAAATCAATAACCAGCAGCTACGTCTGAAAACACAGTATTTAAATATTCTTTGAAATGAATTATTTTTTAAACTCACAGCAAACCTAAGAAATCACATAAATATGTGTGCACATTAATACATCACAGGAATTTATCTCAAGGAATGCTTTAAATAATTAACCGAGCACTTCTGCCATAGTAGTTCATTTATTGTACTCTCACTTTATTTTACTTTTTATTTTAATGCAGAATTGCAACAAAGCAGGTATGTAATACACAGATTTCACTGTAATATACATCAGATCACATGAAGATTATTATAATAGTGTAATGTAACTCAAACAGCTGGTAGTATTAGACTGCAAAGCTCCTATTTGATATGCTGCTTTTATAGCAAGAAACTGTGTACAACATGATTTTTATGGTATATTAATCAGCAAGAACATGCAGGCATATTTCAGTAGCTTTCATACCTTTTAGTAAATCTATATCGCTATAAAGCTAATAATAAATGTTTGTCCAACCAAACTGTAAGCAGGCAAAAGAAGTCCAACATCCAGAACTTGAAAGTTGCTTTTTATGATTTATTTATCAAGTTTGGCAAGAAATAAACAAAGATCCATTTTTGTTGCTTCCTGCTGCTTCTCCTGCTCTGGTAAAAAAAAACCATAGGCCCACCCCAGTGCATGCTGGTCCTATACCAGGCCCTACTGTTCTTCCTGGCTGACTTAACAAGATAAACAACAAAACAAAGCAAAAAATGAAACAAGTATTGACCTACAAATAAAACTTATAACGGAAAATATAAGTAAACCAACAACAAACTTTAACAAATTTAACAAATAATAAAAATAATGAATAAAAAGCTCCAACAATAAATAAACAAATGTTTACTTCACATTCTTCTACAGAAACTACAGTATCTATCTTTAAAAAGTACACATTTTAAACACTTTAAACATAAATAAAACAATGACAATCTAGACAACACACCACAACATAAACATACATTTTGCAACATAAACAAAAAAAAAACAAAAAAAAAAGATTTTCAACATTTTAAAGTTGACTATCTTTAAAAATTACACATTTGAAAGGTATTAAAAAAATCTGAAATGAATGAGACTGATGTCATCGGCTGCTTTTCACATTTGTTGATCTTCTGAGAGAACAGAACAACACCAGCCCTAATATTTAATACACACGAGGCTGATACTCATCAGACGAATGTGAACATGACAAAACAGGAAGGATGTGTCGCTGCGACTAATTCAATGTATCGTTTTTATAAGTCGTGGTGTCGATGCAAGTTTGTTTCAGCTGAGCGATGTGAAAAGTGCACCGATCTCTCTGTTTGCAGAGGAAAAAAATCGCCCATGCACAAACTGGATTAAACACGCCGATGTGTCATTTCTAGCTGAGTAGTTCAGTTTGCTGTCCCTTTTATCGCTGCTATGAATCACCGGTCCAGTCATCTAAAGTCTTCCTCTGTCACAGCTTCCCTGATTTTGTCATCCCCTGAGATTCGTTAAACAGACAGCATGTTTCGGTGCACGTTTCAACTGGCAGGTGATTTTAAATTTAATGTAAAAATCATCCGTGAGTCACCATCACAGAGTTATTCTGCCTTATAATACACGGATGTTGCATCACAGCAACACGTGTTGATCAGAACAATCAGGAGCTAAAGGGCAGGATAACGTCCGCTCAGAGCTGAAGCTGCCGTCCGATATCACAGCCAGTTCACAGCATACAGTCATTGTTTGCTGCTGGAAATGAGCTTCCTGAATCGGACCAGGTATATTTTAACAGATCAACACCAAGCCAAGCTGAAGCTGCCACTGACTGGAGCTTAAAAACACGTTAGGCTCTTAGCACACAAGAGTACAATATTCAGCATTATATAAATGAACAAGACGATTCTGATGGTTCAGATGGAAAATCAACATCTGTTCAATGTCTCCTTGCTATCTGGGATGTGTATTGGATCCCTCAAACTATAACAAAAAAAAGACAATGAAAATCCAAATGTGCAAAAAGAAATATTCAAGATGAAGTCTATCTCCGTGAGATGCATATTACTACAACACGATTAAAAAAACATGCTTTTAAGGCTAGAATGAGTAAAAAACAATAAGTAGAGTTTAGGAAATTTCATCATGCGGTGTATATATATCAGAAATATGTTCGTTATTATTTCTGTAGATTATATCAGTAAGGAAGCTGATTAAATATTGACTAATGACATATGGCAAAGGGGAGAGATTAAAAAAAAAAATTCTATGTCTGAACAAACGTGTAATCAGAGTTTACTCAAAAATGTTTTTTTGTTTGTTTTTTTTAACATGTATTGTATGTAGATTATGAAATATTGGACTCACACCAATGTTTCACCTTTACAATAATAATTTGACCAATAGCAGACCGGGACCATCAATACCAATATAATTCCCTCGAAGCTCAGGCAAAGTGGTTTTCTGTCACTGGTTTATTTGAAGACTTCTCTCCAAAGCCACCGTGAAAACTATACAGCATTAACAAAATAAAACTCAGCGTAAGACACAGCAGTAAAAACACTGTACAACAAACACGATAAATAAATAAATACCTCGTTGGCTGCAAAAAGGGAATTAGCCGCCGTTCTTCTGAGGTTTCCTTTAACCGTTTAACCGTGTGTAGTTAAAGTTCACTTAACATGTCTTTCAATAAAAACCATCATTTCTGCGCGCTTACAGGTGTTTTTCTTCTTTCTACCCAAAGAGGAAACTAGCGCAACTTGTAAGCGAACCCGACTTTCAAAATAAAAGCACCAAAACGTTGACTACAAAAAACAAAGTAATGTACAGCTTAAACAATTTACAATCATGACAAGATAAAGAAATAATACAAATTATATACAGTGTCATCATGCCAACAGTTACAACCAATGTTTTTGTCATTTATTCCCAGTTTGTGTGCAAATCGAATATTAAAATCTTTTTTCATTATTAGAAGTTTCAAAGCCTTTCAGCGCTTCATAATAATTTAACTTTAAATCAGCTCAGAATTCCTGTGACACACAGCCGATGGGCCATTTTCAGTCCCACCAACCGGCACTACAACGCTAATAGATGTCAAAAATGTAAAACACTCCCAAGTACATGAAATATGCTTAATGAACATAAATATAGACTGCTTTGTCAAAGCCACTGTAATATTTCTAAAAAGCTGTTTTCAGCTCAGTATTATGGTCATTATTTACTTCCTGAATATTGAGCCCTTCGGGGAAATCAAGAGAGCAGATGGAGAAGCAGTTGAACAGAAGAAAAAAACAAAAAGAGAAAACACGTGGAAACCAAAGAACAGCTTATTTTAAATGTAATTTTCCTAATTATGCATGTAAATATAACAGAAGTGTTGTCATAAATTTTAAGATGACTATTGATTTATTAAAAGAAAAAAGAAAAACAATCCCGGCCTCAAATTTCAGTTGACTTCACAGCCCTTTAGAGATCACCAGATACCCTCTGAATGGCTCCGCTGGATGAACTTTTATGACTATAAATATAAGCAGGACCCATTTAAACGTGTTCTCTGGTTAGGGGTGTGTTATCTGTTTTGACAGTGTGGTTATTCCCACCCTACCACCTATTTTACAATCACTATCAGAATCACTAAGAAGTATCCGGTGTTAATCAGCACTTTCATGACCTCCAAAACAAACGGGTCGTATTTAGCTGAGTGCTCTTTACACTGTTGACTCTTTCATCCCCCCCAATGTGATGGTGTGAAGGATTACAGGCGAGCACTGCTGGTATTTAAAGATTCCTTCCTGACATTTTGGAAAACGTAATTTTCTTGACATCATAAAGGTAAAACTACAATTTTGTAAAAATTAACATCTTAATAATCTTCACATTCAGGCTGCAGTGCTGAGGTAAACAAAATCCAGGTTTTAAACTCGTGTGAAAGTCTTCACATCAAAGCTGAAGTTACTGCTTGAGCTAGCCACTCCTGGAAGTATTTTCACAGGAAATCAGTGACCAGATTAATCAGAGTAATTTATGGTAATTCCCCAGTAAGTAGCTTCTACAATTTCCTGTTTGAAAGTTTCTGATACACAAAAAGCAGAACAGCCTCACAAAGGATGTTCAACTCTTCAAAAAAATGCCAAACATGAGTGAAAGTGTAATAAATGACTAAGCGCCTCTCTTCAATTCCAGATCCCGAGGTGTGGACGCAGGACCACGTGCGCCAGTGGCTGGACTGGGCCATCAAGGAGTACGTCCTGGAGCAGGTGGATGTCATGCTTTTCCAAGCGCTTGATGGGAAAGCCCTGTGCAAGATGACCAAAGACGACATGATGCGGCTCACGTCGGCCTACAATGCAGACATCCTGCTCTCGCACCTCAATTACCTCCGGCAGAGTAAGGCTGGCTTCACGTGTGAGATCTTGCTCTGCAGCTGGTAACATTGTTCACATGTCTCGCAGATTTCAAAGGTTTTCAAGTGGCAGAAATGTATCGAACACGAGGATCTAACAGTTCCCCGACGCAGCTGCTTTAGTCTCGCTTCAGTCTCACTCTGTGATCTTCCGTGTAATGAAGATCTTCTGAAATTAAACACTCTGAAAAGAATTGCAGCAAAAACCATTTTTGAAAGTGTGCATTTGGATTTTTTAAAATATTTTTCCTGAGGTTTGTTATCTCAGAATTGGATTTACTGATAAATAAACTCCACCCTGGTATCAGTGCAGTTAAGACAAACGCAGATTCATTTGGGGGCAAATAAAGAGTTCATGATGTTTTTTGTTTTGAGGAACATGATGTCACTTCAGGCTCTCGTTTGTTGTTCTGTTAACCAAATTTGTGGTCTTCACTGAGCGCTGTGACCACTGTTCCTCTTTGCAAAAGCAGGTTTCCTGTGTTTCGCGTAACACACGTACGTCACCATGAGTTTGGATCCGTACTACATTACATAATTTACCAAGTGTTTGTGACTGAAGCAGCAGCAGTTTGACGAGTGCAAATCACTGCAGTCATCGTGTCTGAGCTGGTTCGACGAGAGGTGGACAAATGAACAGCAGCATCCAGTTTTGCACTGAGGGTGGGCTGTGAGGAAGACAACGTGGGTGCTTGGTAGCCTCGAGCAGACATTTTGAATTAACAAAAATCAAAGTGAAAGTTGTAGGAAAAGGTTTGCGGTTTTAAATGTTCGAAAGCAGATTTAAAAAAGATTAAAAAGTAGTGAAACAAAAACAGCCGTGGTGATTAATTTACTGCAGAAAACGATGCAGGGTTTGTAAAAGTATTTCTTTCAGTATCACAGGAAATGGTCCTCTCAGATCCTTCCAGAATTGTTCTGGTGAATTGGCACCTCAGTCTTTGATAGATCCTCATTTTTTTTAAATAAAACCTGAGTTTTCACCTTCAAGTTATCTTACCGGTTCACGAGGCATTCACAGTCCATTCTTTTCAACTGGCTGGACCAAAAAGTCGAGTCTGTTGAAGCAACAGGAAAAACAAAGGACCCCCACCCCACAGTTATAATGTTATTCTTCTGACACACAGGACAGACACTACTCTTTCTACTCTGCTGTGCATGTTTAAAAGAATATAACATTGAATTTTATTTCATTCTTGAATCTTTTTTTCCCCAGGTAGTCCAACGTTCTCCTACCCAACAACTCCCACCAACAACACACCACCACAACAACAGCCGCCCAGACAGGTGAAAACAGGTGAGATCAACCTCTGACACATTTCACCCATTTTCAGGACAACACATTCTCCTAATCAGCTTCTTTGTGTGATGAGGTCCTAAATGTTTTAATACCTAACATGAGGGATTTTGTGTTGTTGCTTAGTGAAAAATCATAATTAGCAACACTAACATCAAAGTTGTTCAGTTATCCTCTGATTTCACATATATAAAAAGGTGCAATTCACCTCAGAATTGAATATAAATATTTATATATTTTAATGTATTCATTTTGCTTTTGACTGTCTGCACCCATCGCCCAAAAGTAGTGCGCAGCTAGCTAACTTCACAGTTCAGTTTAAAGAGGCAGTGTTGGTAATATTTACCTTCCGTCACGAGCACGAGGCCTAGTGTCAGATACGCACTTCCTTCTGCACTGCGATACAGTTAGCAGGTGTAGTTTGATAGAAACAAATAGTTCCTACATGAAACCACTCACAACAAGGTTTGTGGAGGTTTTCAGTAACCTGGTCACGGTTTCTGGTAAGACACACGGCTGCTTAGGTTCTCAGATGTATTTTTTGTTTTTGCCGCTTTCAGCACCACAAAGTTATTGTGAATTAATTGCATTACGTACAAGGAAAGGACGACATTTCTTGGGGTCATGCAAGGTTCATTTTGGGGTGAACTGTAATTAAACTCAGTTATACCTTCATCGTCCAGATGAAGCTGATTAGCTGACTTGTGTTAAGTTAATAAATAAATTCTAATTTGAGGTTTTGGTTTACTGGGACAGTTATTTACCAAGTGGGGCATTAAAACCAAATCTGAAGGGAGGTGCATTTTTATTTTATGCATCGTTTCTATAAAAATACATTTCCATTTAATGCAGGATGTTAGGGTTCTGAAAAATAGAACAGTTCATAATATTGTGGTCATTCTTCAAAATGAGGTCACGGTAACAACTGTGCAGGACTGACATGTATAAAACGCTTGGCTGTTAGAATTTCACGAGTCACTGCACCTTCTGCAGCAAAACCATCACAATCATCAAATCTGATACTGAAATGATAAAAACAAACCGGTTTTTAATTAAAATGCAGTGGTGGATGTTTACTCGAGTATTGTAGTTAAAGTAAATTATGGGCAAGTCAAAATCATTTGATTTTACGGTATTTTTATGTGTTTAGTCTTACATTTCAGAGGAAAACAATACGTTCCTTTCTCCTGCACTGCATTTTTCTAGTAGCTGTGTTTAAAGGTTGCTGATCACACAAACATAAAAACACACACACACAAAAACAGCTACAGTAAATGAAACCATTGTGAGACGTCAGGATTTCCAGCCTTATCTTGTTTCAGGTTTATGTGAAGAGCAATCTTTCCTCTAAACCTCACTGCAGACTCTTATTTAGATCATGTCCTGAACTCTGAGGTCACATTTTCTAATAATACACACAGCATAACTGTCTTTCATTTCTTTCATGATGGCTTACTACCAAACTACTTACCTAAAAGATTTATAATTTAAAAAATACAGTAGTTCAAACTAAGCTTTCTACCAGTAAACTGCACTTGGTGTACTCTGTAACTGTTGAGCATGAGCACTATTATGCACTTTAAGCATTCATAGCAGATACTGTGGTATGATTTTAATTGGAGGATTCAAAATGAACCCGTTGGGCTTTTTTTGTTTCATATTTTAATTGCTGTACTATATTCAAGTAGCTTAGTATGATCACTATTCAGAATAATCTATATGCATCTATATGCGCCCCCTTAATCCTCCATCTGAAAGAAGACATTGTAGCAGTTTCTCCTTTAAGACAGCTGATTGGCTGCCCCTCATAAACAGAGTATCTGAGCTGGGTGGGGCTTTGTATTCATGGGTAGAGATGTCTGACATCATACAGAACCAAGAGTTAAATTAAAAATATATCTTTTAGATGTCCTTGATCCAACACAGCTTATTTAAAAGGCTAAATTTTCTCCTCAACATGTCTTGAAGTTCTCCAGAGGCCTGGTAATGAACTAATCATCTGATCCAGGTGTGTTGACTCAGGGCGATGTCTAAAACCTGCAGGACACCGGCCCTTGAGGCCTGAAGTTCCCCACCCCTGGATTACATGATGGTGGGGCAATGTCTTAGAGATGTTTCACACCTTGACCCCCACATTTTTTTCTACACCTTGGCTCATGTGGCAACAAATGATTAATAACTGATGAGTGACCCTGAGGTGAAACAGATGGCTTCCTGTACAGCTTGTGTAGGAGGGAGTAGCTTGTAATAAGTACTGATGTGTCTCAGCATTGATAAAGTGTTTCTGTTTGAGGTGGATCAGGACACATTAGCATCTACACTCAGTTACTGGACATTCAACTTGTAGTACTCACTGCACAACTGTGCAGTAGTTCATGTTTGCCACAGTTTGCTATTAGTCATAGTCTGTGTTTCAGGTTGCTTGATGCAACTGGTGGTTTTTTCCATTTTTTCATTTCCATCACCCACAGGCCCTCTCAGTGGGGGCCGGGTTCTGGTGGGGGCCTCTTCCTTTGACTTGTGTCGCCTACGATCATCTGATTATTGGGGTTCTCGCCTTGAGTTCAGAGTTATTATAGTTTTGTGTTGTTTCATCAATTTCCATTTCATTTGACTACAAAGCCTTGAGGTGACTGTTGTTGTGATTTGGGACTATATAAATAAAACTAAAATGAACTGAACAGACTTAAGTCTAGCTTGAGGAGGAGGTTTGCTCATTTTAGTTTGAGTTTTTATTATTATTGTGTGGAGGGCATATGTAAGGGTCAGCACAGGTCTTACAATAAAAACAGTTGACTTACATTTTGTAGACATCCAAGTCTCAAACACATCAAAGCCTCGTCTGACAAACTATGATTAAATTTGACTAAAGTACAAAGTAATAAAACGTCCTCTATATTTGTTTCATTCGTTAGTTTTCCAAGTTCACAAAATTGTTTCAGTTGTATTTTCCAAGTCTATTTTTTTGTTCCGTAAAATATTTTGGGGGGTTTTTACATCTAGTTTTAGAGTTTAGTTTTAGTTAACTACAATAACCTTGCTTGAGAGAACCATTGTTGTGAATTGGTGCCATATTACCAAAAAACCAAAAAACCTTGAATGAAATCAAAGCTTATGAGCTCAGGGTTTTACAGAGGCCTGAACTACCTGAACATTTAAGGATTTAAAAATGATGTGCCGAGTTTCAGAACCATGTTGCCCAGTGCCAAAGTCTGAAAGGCTCCTTGGCACAACATTGGCCCCAAAACCGACGAGTCCAAACTCAACAGCCAGTTTCAAACAGGAAACAGCTGCACCGACAAAGGAAATGAGGGGGTATGGCTTCGGCTCCTGGGACAAAATTCACAATCTTGTGGCAACAAGGGTGGTCTGAACAAAAGAATGCTCTCCCAAGAAACCAGGGGTCATCTCAAGACCTCCAAAGCCTTATCATTGTGGTCTCGGTTTACTAAACTTCCTTCCTACTATAGCTCGCTCGTCTTAATGTCCACTTCAAAGATTTTACTGCTCGTCAGTGTCTGGTCTCATCCTCATTGTGTTTGTGTTCATACAGAGAACAGTTTTGATGAGATCAGCCGCAGGAACAGCTGGCCGACAAACACCATGACTACAGTGCCTAAAGGTATGAAAAAAAAAGACGATATGAAACCGATAATAAGGATGAACTTTTCATGCAAGAACACCCAATGGGTTTTGCATTTTCTCTGGCTTTAACACAGCAGAAAAATCAAACAATTTCACACATTATACACAAGTTTTATTATTTTTTAGGTTCTTCAATGGAGCACCAGCACAGTACACGTGTTACAGAGCCTGCTCCAAGGATTGGGCAAGGTACGGAGACCACATGTTTAGGCAGATCCTGGTTTACTGCTAACATTTTCTTCTTCTTTTTTGGCTCTATAACTCATTGCACCCCTCACTGTAGGAAGTATGGGAAAGTCGCACAAAACGATATGCAAATGACATCGGTGCCTTTTTAAATGTTTGTTTTCAGTCTATCGAGTCAACGAGCTTCATCTAACAATTATTTCCTTCTTAGCTAACTCACCACAAGCACAATATGGGACAATGCTGTTAGTTTTAAACTGATGCACAAACCTAAACTTTGTTAAGTCACAGAAATCGAGTCAAATTGTGAAGACAGACACAAAGCTTGTGGCCTGAAAGGTCACAGGATCACCAAAGAAACTGCTGAAACAAATCTGACTGCAATCATTTAACAGTTGGAGACGATCAGATATTGTTGTGGCTAAAGTGGTGAACTGATCACACATCTCTTAGGCATTATATTAGTTTGGCAGGTTTCATTGTGCTCACGTTAGAACATTTGAACTAACCTCCTCAAAAGACAACATTCAAAGCTCTGATTGGTCGAGCGTTTCTTCAATCTCAGCTTGAATTATGCTTATGTGTGCAAGGAAATGTGTTTTAACTCATTTCAGGGCATTTAAATCTTGGAGCATTAATATTAAAGTGACAGTGTGTAAAAGTAACATTCCTTTTCTTCTTTACAGACCCATATCAGACATTAGGACCCATTAGCAGTCGGCTAGCCAACCCAGGTAAGAATCTGAACCATCATCAAGATAAATAGACAAGGACGATACAAATGAGGCCTTTACACTGTCTGCTTTGGCATCATGAGAAAAAGGCAAGCAAGGAAGGGCTGGCACACATGCACTTACTTTCCAAAGTGGAGTAAACACCAAGCAACAGCTGTTGTGTCATCACGCTATGACAAAATCCGGCTTCCCTCTCACCAAAATGACTGTTTGCCCTGCTGTTTCCTCACAGAAGGCCAAGCCCTCAACTCATCCAAGAACCGAACAGGCAAACAAAGTGCATACAAGCTCCCTGACCCCAGCACTCACAGGCCTGTGGGTAGGTTTCTGCCCTGATGTCTATCACTTCAACCAAGCCACACAGTGAAAAGGTCACATTTGCTCGGAAAACAAATAAAGCATATTCTGACTTTTGTTTGGAACTCGTTACACTCAGAAAACCTGACGAGCTATCCAAGAGCAAATGGATCCATGATTAGGCTGAAGTAGCCAAGTTACCCTAACTCTGTATTTATTCATTCACTTATCCTGGAAACTAAAAGTGTTTTATTTGACTTTTTTTCCTATCAAGACTTGAGAGAACTCATTTAGAAATTGGAAAAATAAACTTTACACAAATTTAAATGCTAATTTTAAAGCTGACCTGTTTACATTTTTAAAGACTGATGATTGTATTCCTTGAAAATAAATAAATATAGGCACAAACAGTTTCCTTTCTTGTTTTGAGCATGCAGTCACTGTTAAATCAGAACTCAGTGCCTTAACTCTCCTGCGTTTATCCTCCCAGGCTCAGGGCAGATCCAGCTGTGGCAGTTCCTTCTGGAGCTTCTGTCTGACAGCAACAATGCCAGCATCATTACCTGGGAGGGTACCAACGGCGAGTTCAAGATGACCGACCCGGACGAAGTGGCCAAACGCTGGGGTGAGCGCAAGAGCAAGCCAAACATGAACTACGACAAGCTGAGCCGCGCCCTGCGCTACTACTACGACAAGAACATCATGACTAAGGTGCACGGCAAGCGCTACGCCTACAAATTTGACTTCCAAGGCATCTCGCAGGCACACCAGAACCACTCAGGAGATGGTGGGATTGTCAAGTACCAGAATGAGATGTCTTATGTCCAGACCTACCACAGCCACCAGCCCAAAATGAACTTCATGGGTGGCCATCCTGCACCTATGCCCGTCTCCCCTGGGAACTTTTTCGGCCCACCGTCACCGTACTGGAACTCACCCAACAGCCCCATCTATCCTGGGTCAGCCATGACCAGACATCCTGCCACTCACTCCCACCTGAGCTCGTACTACTGAGCACGATGCCAACTGAACAGAAAAACAAAAACAGGAGAGGAACCCAAGTGCACCAAAGCACGCTCCGTCTCACCTGCCACTGAGCTGAACTCTGTTGAAAGAAGGCGAAATGACGCCATCCTTCAAATTTTAAAGGCATTATTAAGTTGTCTTTGTTACGTTCCGTCTCAAAACCAAAAAAAAAAACCCCAAAAAAAACAAACCACGGACAAACATGAGGGTATATTAACCCTGGTATTGTATGCTTCCAGGAGTTTTATAAATAAACTCATAATATACTATATTAACGGTTATTCAGTTATGAATTTTTTCACACATCTGTAAAATACTTTGTTTGATATTGACTGTTGTAAAGACAGACGTCATAGTAGCATAACAGACCTACAACTGTTCTTTTCACTTCACAGGTCAAAACAGTTATCCCTGACTTTTTGTAAAAGGGAAATTGTACAGAATTAACATGTAGCAATAAAACAAATGCTTGATGTAAAGCTAATAAATAACGCCTGTATGAGGAAAAAAAGATCTGATTTTATGTTTACAGTTAAAAACAACAACAACAACAACAACAACAACCACCCAATCCACTCGGAGGAAAGTTGACCAAAGGTCCCATACTGCAGCCCACAAAACCCAAACCATCTGTCATCAGAGACCCCAGGACATCCTCAAAGATCCCACACGCCTTACAGCAGCACAAGACACCTTAGATGGTCCTATATTAAATTATAGCACAGCAAATCTTTTAATTCATAATAAACAAGCTAACAAGCTGGATGCAGATTTGCCATTTACAAAAGATGGATGTAGCCTTTGGGTCTGAGATGTTCAGTCAGTGTAGAAGTGCTTTAAACTCTCGGGATCTAAACAGAAGACCAACTGTATACAAGACTCGGGGAAAACTATAACATCCATTCATCCACCCACTCTATCACCCTGTCACAGGGTGGGGTACACACAAGACGGGTGGTCATTCAATCACACCTTCAATTTAGGATGGCTATGCCTTTGCTTGTTTTTGTACCGTGGGAGGATCTCTGCATAACCACGAAGAACCATGTAGACACAAGAAGAACATGCAAACACAGAAGGGCGCAGCTGGCTGCTCGATTCAAACCAACAATCTTCTTGATGCGAGGCGACGGCGCTGACCACTGCACCACTCTGCCCCACGAGTTCTCGCCGTGCCGTCTTATGCACAACAACATGGTGAAAAATAACACTTCACTACCAGCGCCTGAATTTTTACAGAAGTAGAAATGATGACATAAAATGCTCGTTGAATTGAAATTAGTTGCATTCATATCTTCTCTTACTGTTGGAGAGATGATCCAGTGTGAGTCCTGCATTTCTTTCTCTCTGTGATTGAAGTCCAAATAATTATTGATAATACAGAAACGTCTAAACTGAGTCACTGCACATTAAATTCACACTGACATGTTTTGACCTAAACATCTGGTTCTCACATCTGGTCCTCACAAACGACAAGATGGCAGACCTGGAGCTTCACAATGAATTTATTTTCTATACAACCTATGGGGGTGTCCACTTTCTCACCCATCGCTCAGTAAGTATGAGATTGAATTTCCAATAATCTTTATTTATGTCATTGTTTATAGATTTAGTGATGCAAATCAAATAAAGGTAATCAATTTGCTCAGTATCAACAACAACGTTCTCAAACTTGTTTACCACAGAAAACATTTTTGCAAACTTATAAGTGGAATTAATTTGGTTTGTTAGTGACCCGGAGGAAGCTCGTCGCTCAAACTCCAGCTTTATTTGTCAAAATCAAATATTTCTTCAAATATCCGGCGGGGTTCTGCGATCACCTCCTCCACAGAAGCAGAGCCCTTCCCCTGCTTCTCCTCACCTTCCTCCTCAGTCCACATCACTCCACCACCTCCAAACGGCCACTCCAACTCCTTCACCGTTTTCTCCACCTTATCCATCGGAAGCGCTGCCGTCACCACCGGCTGCGACGTCCACCTCCACTCAGTCGTGGCTGACTCCGGTGCCGCTGTTGTTTTGGTGGAGATCGTGTTCCTCTTCAGGGAGCCGATGGCTTTCGCTTTAGGTTCTATGGTCCACGGCCGACTGCTGATTATTCGAGTCTCTGGAAAAGATGAAAATGTTTTAATATTCAATCATTTAATTCCAGCAGAAAGCAAACTATTGTTTTTTAAACAAAGAAAAGTTTAAGTGATGATTCACCATTGGATGCAGCAGAGCTACAGTTGGAGTCACAGCAGCTGCACACTGTGTCTGATCCATACAGCTCAGCCCATCTGCACAAAGCAGCAAAGACAACAGACGCTTTCAATGTCATCATATCGCAGCGTTTTTAAGAAGAGCTTCAGGGGAAATCTAACCTTCTGGCCTTTGTGTCGTAGTTGCAGGACTTGGCTGTGGGTGTAGGCACCGAACTGCTCACAGACATGATGCAGTGCATGTACAGCTGCTGCAGCAGATACAGAAAAAGCAAGTTTACTCTATTAGTTTTTAATCGCTTTATTCAGTCAAACCACACGGACTCCCAGATCTAACCCAATTTAATTTAAAAAGGGGTCAGCCATCCAAAACCACTGAGTTTTTACAGTTACACATGCACAGGCTTAGCAAACAATTAATTTGCATGAAGCAAATGATTAACAGCGAAAGATGTGGAGTAATTATAACAATGCGCCTGCATAAAGAAGCTCTTTGCTTGTTTTAAATATAAGACTTCTGCTTTACTCAAATTTTTAAATCAAGCGGGTAAAGGCACGTGTCGAGATCTACTTACCTCTCAGTACACATGCAAGCCATCACCGATTTACGGCAAAGAACTTGGGATAAAATAAAGGACAACAACATATGGAACATCAGTCTGGTGACACTTGTATTTCGGCTGACCTGGCCCATCATTCCCTTGAACAGGAACGCATCCACAGAGAATCTCACAGCATCGTTTCTGTACGGGATGAACCTGGAGCGCCCGCCTTTGCTTTCAACCATACATCTTTATCAGAAAGAGAAAAAAGCTGACCATGGCATGATTTTTTTTAATGATGCTTCAGCTTTTTTGACGTGTGACATTCATTACCCAAAGTTTCTCACAACAGGGAATCTAAGCTTGAATGTGTGGGACTTCTCTGGAGTGGCATAACACGAGTGGATGTACAGTCTTTCATCGTGGGACATGGGCAGGGCCTCGGCCTGAAAGTACATGGGCTTTCCGAGCACGTACTGATCTGATGGGGACAGCCTTTCCCACTTCGCTAAAAGGAAAATAGGACAGTAAATTAGCAGTAAAGCGACGGGAAAAGCAGCTGCAAAGCTCACTCGCACTTTACAAACAAACCGTTTTGATAGCAGCTGTGTGAAAGCAGCTTTGCAAAGTGCTCAAACTGCAAAAATTCACCTGAATATCTACTGGACAAAGTATTTTCCAGACAATCTGCAAAATCCTTGAAGTGTCAGGAGTAAAGTTGGTGCCAAAAACAAAATATTAGTAGCAAAGGATGAATCTCTGAACTCAGTTTGCTACATGATTAAAACCTTGTGTTCCCTGGATATCTTAGCTCAAAGCATCAACATATTTATGAGGGTGACGTCGACATGGCGCCACCAAACTGTTTGTTTGTTTGCAGCATGAATCAAATAGTTATGAACACATCTGGATGAAATGTGGCACCAACTTAAGAAATTAATGTTTCTATTCAGATTCAATCACTACAGGGAGGATTTTTTATCTTTATGAAATAAAACAAAACTGGACATTTAACTTGTGATCTTCATAAACACATATCAAGTTGAAATAATTAAATGTTTGGTAATCTAAATAAAATACCTCATTATTCCAGATATAAATGTCCTCCTGGATCCAAAGACTCGTGATTAGTGTGGAGGTGTGCACTAGGATACTGTGCTTAAAGAAACTTTTGTTCCTCCGCCCGAGTGGTTTTTTTGTTATTCTTTTTTTTCTAGCTGCTGCCCGTTGTTGCCTTTTTTTTTTTTGTCTTATTATCATGGTGTTGTTTCTTCTTGATATTGTTGAATGTTTATCAAAAATTAATTTAATTTGATAAACAAAGACCACTAAGAACCTCTGAAATCCACTGGGGTTTAATAACTGCACACATTTCTGTAGCTTTACCGTTTCGTGGCGTCAGACTGAATTTAGCTCCGTTCTTTACTCGTTTGAAGATCTTGCGTATGGGCACCTTTGGTATGTAGCCAATTTTGTAGGTGTATTGGTACCTAAAAGGTTGTTAGCATTAAAAGAAAAATGGAAAAAACAGCATTAATAAACAGCTTGTGTGTTATGAATAAGTTTCTGTCTGTCCTCAATTTAATCTTTTAAGCTCACCTGTTAAAATAACATGACACAGGTAGGTTGAAGGGCACCACTCGCCTGATTGGTCCTTTGAGTCTCGGTGGGTCGTAACGAAGTGTGTTTGAATAGACAACCTGGTTATCAATGATCTGCAACCAGAATTTTTATATTAACGTTTAAATAAAACTTTATCTACAGTTATGAGCAGTGAGCTGAATGCCAACAGTGAATCTCAGCAGGTGTACACATAATCTTACTCAACATGTAATCCTAATCTTATGACTGAAGATTTACTCAAAAACAAAATTCAAATATAAATTACTGCAGTACATGAAAATGTTTTGGAAACATACATTTAAACTACTTTTATTGAAATATATCTATTATTTTCTTATTTGTTCAATAGGAATATGAAATCTTACAGTAATGCTGACATCATCGGGTGTTTTGTGTCACCTGACCAAAACTCCAAACACTCAAAAAAGTTTATCTGACTGTGGTGTCCTACTACAGAGCCCCCTAGTGGACAAACGAGGGTATAAAGATATAAATATGTCCACATCTTTCCAGCACAGAAGATTTCTCTATGCAATCAGATGAATAGTGCAATACTTTGATTAATTTGTGTGACAGAAATAAGTGCATATACAGACCGGTCATTGAAGCTAGGAACAGGGGGGCAAAGACTTGTCCTCCAGCTCTCAGTAAATATTTGTGTCCTTATGTTCTGTTAATAAATTTGCATTCATTGTGACTTGTTTTGAGCATCTACTCCTGCTACATATTTAGCATTTTGTGTTTTATTTAAAGGCAGATTTATTGATTAATAAGTTACTTGTTTAAGTTGGATTTTTGGCAGATTCTGTTCAGCATGGTTCTGGGGAAAAAAAAAAAAATCTCTTCCAGTATTTTCTTCCCATTTTTGTGATCTTATTAAAGATGAATACGCTTAAACAGCAGCACAAAATTCCTGCTCTGAACTAAAAATAATAATCTTACCCTGCCTGTGCTGTGCCAAGCAAAAGTCAGATATTGTTGAAATAGTATAATGGATGCTTCTGTATGCAACTCCAAAGAAGCACTTACTTTAAAGCTCATCTATAATTTTTCTTTTTCATATTTTCTGTGTGTGTGTGTAACAGTAACCCCTGTGAGCCAAAGGTCCAGTTTAACAGTTTTCCCCCGACTCTTGGCTCTGTGTGACG